CTGGTCTAAGTACTGCGCTACACTGGAGAATTTTGTGTTATCCATGCAAAAAGATGGCAAAGCTTTTAAAAAGCACTGTATCTACTTTTATGTTGTTGTTATTTGAATGGTTGCTGTTCAGTATAACTGAATACTCAATCCTAAAATATATATGCATTTCCTCTAAATATAAAATCATATTGTTATCAATTAAATTTGTCTTATTATAAACACTTTCTCAAGTCCTTCAGTAAATTTAGTAAGTAAGATAGGAAACTCGTAAGAGTCTCAAGCCTGCTAAGTCATTTTGTCAGTTTTGTTAGAGAAAGGTTTAATGATTGAAGAGGCTGATCATTTAGCATTATTTGGTGTTTTGAGCGTCATTAATTAAAAAGTCTCGTTTGATGATACCTAGGACGTGAGGTAAACTAAAGCAGCGAATGAACTATGTTACGACTTCAAGAGTGTGAATCCTTTTTGAAATCTTTGGCATCCTGTGGAAGTAATCAGCAAGAGCTAGGGGCTGTTGTGTTGAGTGGCCAATCAACCAGATTCGATACGGAAATCGCAGGAACTTCGACGGTCACAGCACGCCCATTGTCAGCCTCCGGCAGCAGAGAGTCGCCAGACCACTTCGAATGAGGCGCTGGCTGTCCGTTAGTGGCTGTTAGACAATTATCGTCGTCTAATTACCATGACAGACAACAAATCACAAACAATTTCGCAGTCCGACAATCGCATTGTCGATTATTCAATATTGGAGCAAACTGGAATAAACATAGTAATAAAACATCAACTATTGATCGCACCCGGCGTCACATTTAATAAATATTGAGAGACCATCCCACAATTGAAACATCTACATAATAAGCACAACACTCTCGAATTAAATATAGTTTAGCTCATTAATGTGCATTTAATTGAGAAGTCAGCAATCATCTGCTAATAACGAATCGATGGAAAAATCCCGTCTTCTAGGTGCTACAATAGGTAGCTTGGTTTCTCGCAAGGGATACGGAAAGAGAGGCGTTGGACTTGGAGAATCGTCCGAAGATTCTCCATCTGGGACTGATAGCCCCATATGTCTACGAACCTGAAAAATAAAAACAAAATCGTTTTTATACTTATATACGTTAAGTCAATTAATCGATCACTAATTAAATGGTTATTTGGTTAGCTAATCATAAACGCTCACTATTTCAGCGATTCCAACGCATCTTGCTAGAAGAGGATAGTTTATTTGTTCAACCAAAGTAAAATTTTGGAATCTTAGAAAATGAAGCATTCATTCATTCATCCATTCATTCATTAAATTAGTGATTCAATAATAAGTCATTCAGCCACTCACTCACTCAACTGTCTATTTATTCCTTCTCTCTAATCGCAAGCTTTTATAACCCACCTTTCTTTGTGCTCTTCTTCTTCTAAAATCACCTCGTTCAAAATCACGAAGACAAGCCGGATGTACTGCCCAGTAATGACCCTGTAAGAACGACATGAAGTAACTTATGTAAATTATCGGAAACTAATATCGCTGGAATGTTTCCCTGAACGCACCTTTCCATTCGCAGCTCTTCCAGCTTTAACAAAACAATCATTTAGGCTAAGATTGTGCCTAATGCTGTTTCTCCAACCTGAACCACGTGTGCGGAAGTAGGGGTAGTGTATCATTATCCATTCATACACCTAAAACAAAAGAATGACTTTTCAAGTACTTGCCTTGAAAGATAAGGACGAACTTCACTAAGGACCATTTTCTTTTCTGGCGAGGAGAGGATTGCCATAGCTATGAGTCCGATGTAGGAATGCTGCGGTTTTGGTTGATCCAACATCGGGAACAAGGGCGAAGTGTCGAAAAGACTTCGAGTTGACATATCGGCACGAAAAAGCGCTGGAGCGACTTCGTGACGATCCAGGCCGAATAATACTCTCTGATAATCTCGTAGAGCTTCAGCGCATAGACGATCCATCTAAAATTCGCAATTAAGTAATCACATCACAATAAAATCAATTAGATGTAGAAAATCAACGAATTCGCAGTAATAGGTAAATAGTGTTGGCCAAACGAACCATAAAAGATAAATGGGAATCATGTTTGGGAGAAGCTAATAGATAAGGGTTGGGTCACTTTAGAGTCATGTCTTCATTGACTCTATTTTCACTTGTTTCAGTTCATTGCAAATAGGAAAGCAAATAATTGCCGTGTAGCATAAATCATTCATCGAAAGGCAAAAATTTTTGTTGACAAAGCTGAAATAATGCATTATACTTCTCCAAAGTCATGCCAATTTCCTGACAATTGCTGTCAGATTGCAAAACTGAGCGTGATTTGTCTTCAGTGTTCTAGAAGCGACTGAAATAAGAATTTCAGTCAAAGTTAATGATGTTATCTCAGCCAAAAAGTTTCTTCTAAAATTCCTCGCTATTTGTAATTACAATTATTCTAATTACAATCAAAGCTGCAATATGAAGAAGAGGAAAATAAGCATATTGAAATGTTGAATATGAAGAAGAGGAAAATAAGCATATTGAATGCATATGTATGTACTTAATATACTCAATGTAACAAATGTTTCAATCATAATAACCAAGCTCTGCATGTAATTTTCTCAGAGCATAATCCGTAAATGAAGTAAAATACATAGATAAGGCAAGTTTAACAAGCAATTTTAAGTATCGAATAGACATTGTTACCTGCTTGGCCAAAAACTGGAATTTACAGCTTGACACTGAAACATTTAATTTATATCAAATCTCTCCAGCAAATTCCAAAATCGCTTAGCATCTCCGATTGCATAGCTTCGCTACTAGAAATTTGCAGTTACGCCAAAGAAACGGCATGTAACCAACCAAATAGCAGGTAATGGATACATACACGTCTGTCAGAGAAAGGAAACAATTTGGCAATGGGTGATACACCTTGGCTAGGGCCACAAATACCTCGACAAACAGGAAAAACTATCGTTCGTCCATTATGTGGAAAATATGCTTGTGCGGAAGTTGCCTCCTTGCTAAACGTAGAACGGAGGCTTTTACTTGCAAATGTGAAGCTAAATCAAAATAGATTCTATTGCCAAATAATGCCATGAAAAACAAGAATACTGTCTTAGGAAATAAGATTTTCTAGCGCAAAATTTGTTTTCTCAAAAAATGACTAAGCCAACCGAGGTGTAGACTTCGCGCTTGCAAAAAAATTCTGATTTCAAATGTTTCTAAAGCTTTCATTCAGTGCTTTTTGCACACTGTTACTAAGATTATCTTGTTTGTTGACATCTCGCACCGCCAGTTCTGCATGATTTCACATTCTAGATTTTCCCTTACAATTT